CTGCACTCCAGTCTGGGCGACAGAGTGAGACTCCAACTCAAAAAAAAAAAAACAACAAAACAAAACAAGTGTCCATGCCTCAAAGATGTCCAAAAATGCTTTGAAGGTATCCACTGTTCTTCGTCTCCAAAACTTCCACCTTAGTCTAATTGAAGGATCGATTCATCACGGCCTGTCTTTTGTCCTGTGTGGTGTATTATCTGGCAGGCATCGTGTGAACTTTTAAAACTATACATTAGATCGCCACACCCCGTTTGTTGCTTAAAAGCCCTCCAGTGTCTCTAAGAAAAAAACCCTGAAGTTCTGCCATTGAGCACACGGCCTTAAACATCCTGGCCTCAGCCCACCTATCTGATCTCTTCCACCATCAGCTGCTGCTACCTGGAGCCAGTCATGGTCCCGTGGCTCAGCCCACCCTTCCTCGCTTCCTGGCTCTGCATTCATTGTCCTCATGCTGTTGGGCTGCAGTTGGCCAGCGTGGAAGTATTTACACCATGGGAAGCAGTAGAGGCTTTGGGTCCGGGTGGCCTGCCTCCTGAGAGCAGCTGCTAAACACTTACTGCATGCAACTCAGGACAGTCCACCTGGTTTCTTACAAATGCCAACCTTCCTTCTGCCCTTGGTCCTTTACCCTCGTGCTCTCTGCCTGGAATTTTCTCCTCTGCAGTGGCTGTTTCATGTTGTTTGAGGGTGGGAGGCATTCCTATCCTGGTCACGTAGTCATTGTATCTAGGTAAAATGTGAGTTTCTCAGAGAGGACTTATCTGACCACCAGGAATGTCGCCCCTCCCCTCCCCTATCTCTTTTTCTTTCACTCTTCCTTGTTGTGTTTTCTTGTTGACACTAACTGCACTCTAAAGTTGTATGCTTATAAACAGTGTAATACGTTTAAGGATGTCGAGTTGCTTGCCTCTTTCACCTGTCGTCCTTCTCAGAGAATGTAGATTTCCTAAACCTTACCCAAAACCGAATTCCCAGAAACACTCAGAACAGGACCTGTGGCATATTAGTTGCTTATGAATGATTTGTTGAATGAGTGAATGATTTAATAAGTGAAGAACAGTGATAATTAGCTATTCATGAATAACCAGCATGTTCTTTAACTAGGCAACTGTCATTTATATCAACTCAACAGACTTGTATTTAGTTTATGCTTGCATATTTATCAGGTACAGATTTTTTTAAAGGACCCTCCAAAAGGAAAAATGCAAACTCATGGCTGAAATTCCAGAAGTTTTGCCATGTTGGTTGTGGTCATCCAGATTGACCTCTGTTTTGAAAAGCAGCACAAGTGTTCGAGGTTCTGTGGTGTTCAGTGTGATGTGATAAATGGCAGTCATATGTAAGGACCCACTGACGCATTTTATGGCTTCAATTCAATCTCAAGTGCTTAAAATACCACTTGTGCTCTGTTCTCATGACTCTGCCCCGAACCTCTGGCTCTTACTCAGTCCTCTTATCTTGTGGACATTTCTAGACAGGTCTCATTGCTGCCCTGTACTTTGTTCTTGGCCTTTTCTTAGTCTGACCCGTTTACTCAAAATCTGCATGGGCAGAAACTCCGTGCTCTGGAAATGTGTTGCCTTTCGGCACTTTTCCAGGCCTGGGCTTTCCAAAGAAGGAAAACGTGCATCTTCCGTGCCTCCCAGTGTCCCCCGCACCTTCTCACACGTGCTCTACACGTGTGGCGATTGTGTCTGCATGGCTTCACTAGAAGGGCACATCGCTTGGCAAGAAAAGCTCCTGGTTTTGAACTTTGTTGTGGAGATTTTGGTGTTTACATAAACCATTAACGGATATGTGTGTTTGTATATGCACAAGTAGTGCGTTCTAGTTCTTTTAGAATTTTTTTTTTAACTTAAGATGATCTTATGCACTCACTAGTAAATTCAAAGCCTGGGAGCCATTAACATCCACCACTACTCTTCGGAAACTGAGTTTGTGTGAGAGAAGGCGGTAACACAAGCCAGTATGACAATCAGAGCTGTTACGGTTGCAATTCCATGTGTCCTTTGGGAGGATTTTCTTTTGTTCTGAAAAGTAGTATCCTTTATTTTATAGATGAGAACATTTAGGCTTAGAAAATATAGGGTACTTGCACAAGATATGATAGCAAATAAATGTGATGAAGCTTCTACGCTAGATCTCCTTATGTAGAGGATGAGAGTCTGACATGTCTTGGTATAGCATGGTAGGAGCTCAAAGCTTTGTTGGCTGAAAGAATGAATAAACAGGGCTGAGGAGTGTGTGGTTTAAAAAAATTAGGTATCAGCAACACGCCATACCCAGTGACTCAGCATCTCACAAGTTGGGCTTG